TTCATTGTATAGTTTTGAATATAATGTGAAACATGTATAAAATATGTCACTTAATCAGGAGTTGTCTGTAACTGCGGACCAATTCTTCCAGAGGAGTCAAAAACACTTCCCAGTCAGAACGAAACATTACAGCAACCAATAAACTCTTTGAAACTACAAACGGTGAGTCAAAAAAAAAATACATCCTTTAAAATCTGCAGCCTGCAGTTTGGAATTAAAGAGCTGAGTAAGACAGTCAGTTTGAATCATCTCAACCTTTCTGCTCTCCTCTTTCATGCCAACCAAACACTTATCTGGATTTTCAGCAAAAAGTCGATGAGCATTTACGACTTTAACCTCTGTCATGATCCTTCATCACTGACTTATTCTGTTCTTTAAAGCCTTTTCCTAAACCTTCACAAGTTTTGTATTCGGATAATATTATCAGAGCGAGTTCATTGACGTGTCATTTTGACCTATTATTGGTGATTGTTCACATATATATCTTAATTTATTCAACTGAATTACAATAAACCTTAGAATTTCCAGAATACCATCATTTAAAAAAAAAAATAATTAAATAACGTAAAAAAATCAAACACTACAACATGTGTATTGAATGTTTTGTTTATACTGAAGTATGTTTAGTATGTTGGCGACCGGCAAGACATACAAAAGTCTCACCATGCTTGGATCGCAATTAATAATATTACCAGTATTTCTGGATAATATTTAATTTCCTGTTGTTCACTTAAGGAGTCTGCTCGTTCAAGAACGACACATCACTAGTGTGATAGTTAAAAGCTGTGGAAAAAGCTAGTAAGTGGACCTTTAGTTTGCATCTAACTAAATGCATCAGAAGAGTATTTGGGGGTAAAAGTGAACCCATTATTCTTCTATTTACTTATTTATTGTGTAATTTAATGCTTTTATCCAATGATGCAAAAATGGTAGAAACAAAACAGGTAGAAGTGCCAGAATGGTACAATATGGTACGTTTTTCATTTGTTTTGTTTATTTAATTTTAGATACGCAGTACGGTAATGCGGTGAACCAAATATCCTCTCAGAAATACTAACCTGATCTTTAACCAACTGCACTTATTAGCCAATAAAATGAGGATGAATTCATGCAGAGAAAGCAGGCTGCAACTGAAGGGCTCATTTGTGTGAGGATGAAGGGGATAGAGGGCAAAAAACTGATCACCATCCCCCAACTATGAAATCTATAAGAGTGAATTGTTTAACCTGAACAAGCTGCAGCGGCTGCAGGAGAGTCGGAAACATCTGCAGTGGAAAAATTACCACCAGCAGCTTGTTGTTTTTTCTCTCTCTTTCATAATCACATAGATATTAATTATTCATTTAATATATTCTGCATGGTGATAGCTTTGGTCACCAGGGAGGGCAATAAAAGGGGTTTTAACTGTTTAACATTTAACTACAAGTCACACATACTGTACACAACAGTGCTGTCGACCATCCGGCACTGCTGTTAGATGGATTAAAATTAACTTCAGACTTGCTTGAGTTCAGTAATCCATCACAGTGGACCCTTCATCGTTGTATTTCTTTCGACTGAGATCTTATTTTTGTAGCTTTGGCCAACGTTTCTATTGGTTATTAGGTTCTGGGAACACAAGGATATTCCTACACAAGACAAAAAGGTCTTCCAGATTAGCTAAAACAATCTGAAGTTAAAAATGAAAGTGAGACAATGTGTTTAAAGGTTAATTATATATATATGAAATTGACTTGTGATCATTTTAGACTGCTACAGCGGTGGAAATAAATCTTTAAATTCACCGACGGTAGATGATATAAAACAGCAAGTTTCAGTCGGAGCAGACCGGCTATGGAAACAAACCACAGAGAGGCTGCGATACAACACAAGGCAGAGGGAGCGAGACACCATTATATCTGTACATAGCAGATAGTTGTTTGCTGCTATATTGATATTTCCAATCTCATATGTAACCTTTAAGGACAGACAAACATCCAGCTTCAAAGAAATAACTTCAGCAACTAAGACTCAGATGAACAACAGAAATGATGACAAATTTTTCTAGCTTGTTTCTTTTCTGTAGGTGTCTCTCAAATCTAGGTTTCCCGCAAGCACTGAATACACCAACAACAAGAAGCAGTCCCTGTTCCAGTTATATTATTGCACATCGATAACAAAGTGTCCACTGTAATGGATTCCCTACAGCATCACAGGTAAAGTTCAAGCCTCGCAGGTTATTTTTTATAGCAATCAGCCACAAACTGAACCCAGTGGCTCCTTGAAAGGTTTACCTGCTTTAGAAAATGGTCAGCAGTATGTGAATGGTAAATGCAATTTGTAATTAATGAGCTAAAAAACTGCAGATAACGTCCTTAGCACCTGCCAAATCCGTTGTACCAGTAACTTTGGCAGGTAATCATTCATCAATTACAGAGCCGCCTCTTTTCCAAAAAAACAGTTGGCTTGTAAAAGAGTGAATTTTGAGATGAAATGAAATTGGAACAGCTTTTCAAACACGACTGTGTCCGTGCCCAAAAACATCACAAGCATTCAGTGTTTCCCACAGTTTACAGCAGGAGAGGAAAACCCTGGGAAACAGCATTTTAAACTATGAAAAGACACTAAAATCTCTGCAGTGAAACACAAACGGATGAGTTCTTGGAGGTGTGTCAGCAGCTCTTTCTTGCAGGGTTCACTGCGGGTTTTACAGCCTCCAACACTCGATTGATTTCACTGGGCAGCCATCTGATGATATAAAAAAAAAACAGTTACAGTAATAAAAATGTTCTAGCTGCAGTCAGGAAAACCTCCACTGTATCAGCAGTGGACATCACAGACTGCGTGATATCTGATTCCTAATAAAACAACTAATTAGTTCTGTATATCAGTCGCTTCCAATAATCACCAATGAACACTTACATGACACTTCAGAGCAAGCAAGTGTATTCTTAATCTGTAGAGTGACCTTCCAATTAATGTTCATTATCTGTAAAGGTGTAACAGGAAGCTGACAGGACGATGCTGCTACAGAGGAAGAGGCTGCTTTACCAATTTACACGTGAAAACCATCCGGATTCTCTAGTTTCTAGACTGACTTAACGACTCCCTCCATTCACAAGTTTCTGTCTTTTCTGCAGCAAGAAAACAGTGTTTACTGCAGTTCACAGTAAGAGAGGATGTGATGAGAGAAAGCTCCTAAAGTGCAAAGTGGTGAAAAGAATGGAGAAAAACGACCCGCTGTTTATTCTCCATAAAGTGAGTTTTGTTTGTTGGGGTAAAAGCATCGAACATTACTTGAAAATCTTAGCAGAATATTGTTCCCAATGATTATTGGTGACGAGATTTTGTCAAACATTACATATTCTAGGTTCTGGTGAGAACTTTTGGATTGTTGGCTGGACAAAGAAAGCAATTTTAAGGCGTAACTGCTGTATGACGCCATTTTCGGACATTATAGAGACCGAATGATGGATTAATAATTAATTGAAACAATATTGTTCTCTGCATATTAAATGAAATTACCAAGACGAGTCGAGACCGAGTCCAAAGAGGTTTGAGTCCAAGTGGCTGGTAACCATGGTCAAAGACAATGTTAATGCTCGTCCTAGATGGATTTTGAATGAAACTAACACCAATTTTCCATGTGCTTCATCAATGGTTTTGTTTTGAAGGAGGAAGTTACTTAAGGAAAAAAACAGATATTACTGGACTTAGTCAAGATAAACTAGAATATCTGGCGAGACCGAAGACCAAGTCCAAGTACCAATGAGTCTGAGACAACAGAAAAGAGCCCTGATCTCAGGTGATATCGAGTGATAAAGTCTGTGAAGGACTTTCACTCAGGAGACC